AGTTTCTTCAGTATTTGTTTTGGCCTGTTTATGTGAATACATTTAAGTCCTTTTTTTGAACATGCTGATGCTGTGAGCCTCAAATCCTGCAGCAAGGTTCAGGAGTTCACTACCTAAAGTGTAAGTGTGCTTTATTCTTTTTTAAACTGATCTGTTAGTTTCAACAAGTGCTGCTAGTTCTAGCAGTGCATGATTTCAAGAAAAACTGTTTTGCGTTTACGTTATTCATCTCGTTTCTGACTTCTGCAGAGCTCAGTCATATCTCCTTTCAGCCTTTTCTTTTCCAAACTGAAGAGTCTTGGCCTTAGCGTCTTTGCAGAGAAAAGCTGCTTCATCCCCTCCGTTGTTTTAGTTGCCCTTCCAAGGGCAACAGAGGAGAGAGGAGACCAGAACTGCACACATCACTCCAAGTATGGGCATAGTAAGGTTTTATACAGCAGCAGAGTGATTCCTTTGTCTTGCTCTCATCTTGTTGGATTCTGGCCTACCGCTGCGTATTAAGCTCATTTTTCAGAGAACTGTAAGTGTAGAAAAAGACTTAATTGGCAACTACGTTCCCAGCGTGTGTTGCTGAGGTTCCTGAAGTCAGGTTGGATGGACTGGAACTTTAAGACCTCTGTATTCCTGTCACTCTTCTTTTTAATATGGGTTGGCAATGTTTTCATGCTGCTATTGGCTGTGTTGTGGGTTTAAAAGATGAGATCTTTGGAGTTTAGACTGTAAGAATGTGTGTGAGAATGTGTGTAGTGCTCAGCCAGATGGGTTGTTTTTTCGCCCACTAAAGCATCTTGATTCTGCTGAAGGTGGCAGCAAATGTGTATTTTATATCTAAGCAGACAAATAACAAAATGACAACTAAAATTGATGCTTCTAGTTAGACATTGTCATTATATCATTTCAGTAGGAATAAGCTTGTAGTATCTCGCAAAGTCTTCTGATTTCCAGCTATACTAGCTTTGTCCTTCTTTGGACATGTTTTGTGGTTTCTAAGATACAGGTCCAGTTGTGACCTCTCTCAGGCTTCATAAACATCTATGTTTTGGCTGTGCAAATTTCTAGTGTTTTTAGCAAAGATTATTTTTCCTATAGAGTGCAAGTTAAACTAAATTACGAGGACAAAAACAATTGGGCAGCATGGTTTGAATCTACTTAACAACTTCCAGTCACATCCATATTTTTAGGAAGCCGAAATTGGGCAGGAGCTTGCTGAGGCAGTAGAAAAGGCTTCTGACATGCTCTGACATTACAGTGACACGGTCTTAGCCTTGGAGAAAGATCTTTAGCTTTTGTAACGATCTATTGGCATTGCAGATGGATTCAAGCCAAAGCTTGAACAGCTTTGGCAAATCAAGAATTTTGAAATTGAGTTTTGTTTAATTAAAACTAAAAACATTTCTAGTCCCTGGTATAGACCAATTTGGTTCTGCTTCTACATTGTCTGTAGCAATCCACGATTCTCCTGCAATCCGTAATGCAGGTTTGAGAGAATCGATGTTTTCATTAACTACCGAGACAAGCAATATCATTCAGCTTCAAACTCAAACAATATGTCAATTCCTAAAAAGGATATACGTTCGTGTCTGGTGTAACCATGCTGAAGAAGGTTCTGCTAGCAAAAATAAGCAGTTCTTCACAAAGAAGGTGTATTCATCTGCAAGAGCTCTTAATGGAGGAGGATTTACTGCCAAACACATTCTTGCACATGCTTTTTATTCATCTATGATTCTATGAACCCAAACTTCACTGCGTCTCACAAGTACTGTATGTTTAATACTGTTGCATTAACTGTATGCTTAGCTTTGTTTTCTAGCATGTCTTCATACATTACTTTGTCTGAAGTGTTTACCTGACCTCTGCTAACAGCGTTGAGTGTTTCAGTAGTACTTCGTGGATGTAAACACAGCTCGCTTGTTTGAGGAACCAGTGCTGTGTATTCCCCAGGTGACAAAGAGAAACTGGGCCACAAGGACACAGAACTGCTGGCTCAGCCCATTCCACCGAAATGCAGATATTTACATCAGGAGTCTGTAGGAGCTATGAGCTGTGTGTAGCTCATGCTCTAGTGTCAAGATGCAGTCTGCAATGTGGGGGAGCTGTAAGCGCGATGTCAGAGATCTGTGGTAGAGCAGAGGCTGTAACCCAGATTTCTTAATTCCAGGCTTATTTTCAAACCACTGTACTACTGTTTTTACTTTCCAGGTCCTTTTTACATGATATTGAAGTGCTTTGCATACAGTACAAATTAAGAAAAATATCTTTTTTTGTGAAAATGTGGTTTAAGGCACAACTAAGAATGTTTGGGAGTAGAATATTAATGTAATAACATTAGGAAGCATTCCTGTTTCAGTAGCTACTATGAAGCACGGAACTTGAAATGCTACAAATAAATTTTATGCATTGGAAGAAGCTATGCTGTCAGTGGAATGGGGAGGGGGGTCCTCATCTCTCATGTTCTTTGTGCATGAGGAGAGATGCACCTGCATCCGCTGTGAAATGTGCAGCTCTTGGTATTTGGGAGTGGGGAGGCGGGTGTGAGGCACCCGCACTGATAGTCTGAGGCATAACAAAAGAAAGAGGATCTCTTCTCATTTCCATGTGGTATCTGTTACGGTCTTCTGCCACTGTCATCTGAAAGTGAAAGGGAGTGTTAAAACTCTGTTAAAGTGAAAGATGTCACTTGGGTACATTGTCTTCTTTTAGGGTGTAGTAGGATATATTTTGGCTGTAATTCCTCTGTACTCCTTGGTAGTTGAGTAGGACAAGTGTGCGTGCGCTCCTGTCCTCCTCTTGTGTCGTGTTCCATATGGTAGTACAGATTTGCTTGCTCACTTGAGTTTTCTTAGCTGCTCTTTTTGGGATTGTGATCCCCTGTGAAATGGCTTTTTTTTTTTCTTTTTAAAGATGGAGTCCTTGAGTAGGTGGTACAGTGTGTTGTTTTTCTCTGAAGGGAAGAAAGAGTAGTGAACTGGAAGTTTTGGGTATGTCTCTGTTGACTTTCTGAGAGAGAGGGAGCATTTCTTGTATGGTTAAGTTCTTTGTTTACATTTATTTGAGAAGAGCTTTTGCACTTGAGTTCCTACTGCTTTCCTAATGGTATTGAAGAATTCAGAAAAATCTATCAAATGCTAACCCTTGTTGTCATTGAAGATACTTTTAAATAAACCATAAGGGAATAGGTTTCTCTCCTTTGTTATTTTTCAATGATGTGTAAGCAGTTCTCGCTTATCTTCTAACTTTTACTGTAGAGGACAAGTGACTGTTATTGCAAGAAAATTGATATTTTTCTTTCTTGCTGGACAGCAGGAGATACTAGTTTTAGTTTGACTGGACCTCATTACTATAACAAACCCAAAGTGAAAGCTGTTATGGTAGCAGAGAGCAGCAGCAGCGTTCAGCAACGGGTTTTTTGTCTCCTTCCAACTGTTTGACCTTTTCCCCACAAATAGCTTAAGAAATCCAGAAAAAACTCAAGAAGTTCTCTCTTACTTCTGGCAGTGTATTTTTTCACAATCTTCAGGGTTGGAAACAATGGCTGTTCTAGTCTCTTACTATTTTTATACTCTTTCAGTGTAGCATGCATACCATCTTAAGATGGTGCCACAGTTCAGTTCAGAGGCCTAAACTTCTGTGATTTAAATGAAATAACGGTCCCCACATGTTCATGCTCTACTGGTTGTATTTTTAAAGGCATCTCACTTTCAGCAAGTAGATGCTCCAGATATCTTTGAAAGTTGCGATTGTTTCATGATGTTCAAGCATATGATCCAAAACAGTTTGTATGCAGTGGTATTTTTTTAAAATATCTTCATTTCTTGCTTATTTTCTCATCATAAGATCTTTAAAGTGGTTCAGAAATTGTCGGTAGAGCTACAGAATTCATCCCACTGGTTGTTAAGGTTGTGATATAGCAGTGTTTAAGTCATAACTGATACGACTCATCCTACATTAGTTTTTTCTTTTTCACCATGAAGTACACAGTTTTCAATGTCTGTATTGCTGATTTAAAACAGAAACCTGTATGGACCATAGCTACCCTTCCAAGGATAAAGAGGAAAATTCAGAATGACTTTTTTGCAGAAACCAACTTTTTGAGTGCTACCTGTTGTAGGAGATAAGAATATGTCTTTTTGGCTGTTGCTATCTCCTGGGTCTTTCTGGTACTGTGATCGGGTCATTCCAGGTGTGGGCTTCTGGATCCGGTGGCAGGAAGAGTCTCAAGAAGGGGTGAAGAGAGAGAGGGAGAAAGAGAAGATTGTATTGATTCTTGAGTAAATCTCAGAAATTTGGAGTCTCCTGTGCCAGTTTCATTAAATTTTCAGCAGTTTTGTTGGAACCTCAAACTTAATTGATTTAAAAAAAGCCATAAAATTAAAAATCTTACTAGATGATGTTACTCAGAGGTTAAAATAAATGAGGGAGGGAAATAAGGGCCCATGACACTTCTTCGCTGTACTGGTGTGCGTTTGAAAACAGATTGACTATTGGAAGGCATGGGTAGGCTTTTGATGGATTTCTCTATGTACTTGTGATATCCCTAGTGTACTTTTGGCAGGTAAGTAGTAGTAACTGCAACACTCCTAACAAATAGTTGCACTGGTCCCTAAGTCTAAAGTAGAATTTCTTCTTTATAGTTCTTTGTAAGTAATAAATCAGGATATATTTCATATGTTATACTTTGCCCGTATTAATGACTCTCTGGAAATATCATGACTAATAGATAACTTTCCCTTTCCCACTACTAAATCCAGTAGTGTAGTAAAAAAGCTCCGAAACATCTGAAAATTGAGGAAGTAATAAACCACAATATTTATCATTTTTTATTTTCTTGAAGTACATTGTTCTCTATTGAACACCAGACAGACACGTTTACCAGAAATAAACTTTGCTAGTCAAGTGTATAGACTAATAAGAGTGACCATTTGCAGTAGGTAGTGCATTTTTTAGGCAAAGGCTTCCTGTCCTTATAGATAATTTAAAAATACCCCTGTTTTTGTAATCTTTTTGTCCTTAGGACTTTATCTACCAGTGATGATGTTGAGGACCGAGAGACTGAGAAGGGCCGCCTGGAAGAAGCTTATGAGAAATGTGACCGGGATTTGGATGAACTCATTGTCCAGCACTACACCGAGCTCACCACTGCGATCCGCACATACCAGAGCATCACAGAGCGCATCACCAACTCGCGCAATAAGATCAAACAGGTGAAGTCTAGCTTTGCGTGTGTTTCTGTGTTTGCATCCATTCGATAGCGTGTACTCTGGGTACAAATCTGTGCAACTCCTCTATTTTTCCTGTGTTCTGTCCTTTTATTGGTAGTGTAATGTTGTAAACTCCCATTTTAACCTTTTATTTCTCCCTCTCCTTTCCCAGCTACTTGTCATCATTCCGAACTGAACTAAAAATTGAATTGAGAAAGCACTGTTACCCGCTAATTCTGAACTAGGCCTGATTTTCAAGTCGTTCTGTGGCATGGCTAGGAGCGGACCATCCAGTTCTAATACAGTGGTTGCAGGCTATGTCTTATAGCAACATGTTTTCCATAGGATCTCTCTCTGTTGTTTGAGAACACAAGTAATTAAAAAGCAAAACGAGAGGTGGATATGAAGAGCAAGGCTTTGCAGTGCCCCCTGTTCATTTATTGTCTGGACATGTTGCTATCAGGTTTTTGAAGTCTAGGGGCTGCTAAGCTAACACCTTTCCATCTAATCTGTTCGTGTTTTGATATGTTGGCCTCCAACCATCTCCTAAATAGTCTGGGCGATTCATCAGCTTGCTTTTCGCTCAGAGAATATGAATTTTGGTGCTATTTCCAAACTCAGTTCTGTTGTGTGAATGTACGTGAACTCTGTGCCCCAGTATCTTTCTGTATTTTGAGTGCTCACACTTTGGTAGCGTGCCAGTAAATAACTCTGGCACTCTTTGTTGTGGACTTGTTCCATCTGCTTTCTCCCTGCAGCGATAGATTAGTTCTTTGGACTCCTGTCCTGTCTTTTACTTCCTGTGTAGTTTGCTATACCTACACTTTGCAAAATAGGCACCAAATTTATTCCCTTTTTTTCCCCTGGCTCTGTGGAGGTCTCAGCTTAAAACCTTTCACAGCAGTGCTTTAGGAGCAGTAGGCCTTTACCCTTTTGGGGCTATGTACTGACCCTTCTGGCTTTTAAAATTCATTTAGCATTTTCAAAGAAAATGAGACTGTTATGATGCTTTCCAAGGGTAAGAGTTCATTCTAGGATTTATGTACAAAGATCAGCACTTTGAAAGCAGAGATCAATTGCACTAAATTTGAAATAAACTGTAGCCAGTGGCCTATTTTCACACAGTATACTAAGCTTTGCAGAGGTCAAAACAAACATATGGGGGTGTCACCTTTTGGTCCCGCCTAGAAGAATGTCTGTAAAGATGAAGGACCTTTTGATATTTAAGTTTTCTTACTAATTTTGGTCAATATGTTTTGAAATAGCTTTGACCTAATCTCATGGGAGGCCCCAGATCTGGTTTGTCATCAATCTGTATTACACTAAAAGACTTTATTTTGATGTTCCCCTCTTGTGGAAGGTAGATGATCGCACAGGCGTTTACTTGCATTAGGAATTGTGGAAGTGATAGATAGTCCAGATCCCCCTGTGTATCTACCTTTTGTAGTCAATTCTTATATGAATTCCTGTTGGGAAAGGCTTCGTGTTGAATCTAGCTTTAGAGGTGTTACCACTGTAAAACTGGATTATAAAGTAGAAACAATTTGGCCTACCGAGGGGAGGTTCTTTCTTAAAGACTTGCTGTTCATTCCTTCCCCTGCTCCCAAATGTAGATATAGTTGATCTCCTTTCTGGAGTAGGAATGTCTTGTGAGATTCCTTCCAGCCCCGTGATTGTTTTGCTGACCTAATTTGGCTCGATGTAACACCAGTCCACTGATGATGGTTGCTAGGTCAGTGAAACATTTTAAATTAAGGTATTGAACAGGGATTAAGGCTGAAATGAACTCTGTATGCATTTTTGTTTGCCTCTGCTTTTGCAGCAAGTTATGATACTCTTACATTAGCTTTTCTGTTGGCTGAGGATTTTTCTATGTTATTCTTTTCAGAAGGACATTTCAGAGTGCAATGTTATTGTATTGAAATCTTAGTCTCTTCTGGCTCTGGATGGAGGCTGTCTTATGTAGCTATTGTTACTGACCGGTTGTCTGTATTTTGGTCCATCTGTGTGTGTTGTGTGTATTTTTTTTAAACTGCCTTTAGATGGACAAGGTAGGAGAATGTGCAGCTGAAGTGGGATTTCTGGAGTGCTTTGAAGGCTCATTATTTAAAAATAAATCTAAGGGCCTACTTCTGAGAGTCTCTCTTCATGTGTAATTCAGTGAGAGCTCAGCCTGAGAAAAGGTTGGACCCTAAGCATTCATAACTTATCACAAAAACAAGAGCAGTGTGAAAGCAATGTGTGAAGTTGTGTTGTTAATTGCTTCCACATTTTAATATGTATTATTGATTTGCATTATGCAAGAAAAGCTAGGTTATACTGACCTTTCCAGAGGATATTGGGAGAACCTGAAAGCAGGGAATGCAGGCTGCGCGTTTGAGCAGAAAGAACGGAGAAGAAAAACTCTTGATGTTTCCCAAATGGGGTAGAATACTAGAAACTTTGCGGGTTAGAGAGGATGGCATGAGGCTTGAAAACAAACTGAACGGCAAAGATCAAGGTGTTTCTCTGGGTGATGTAATGGCCTTGGTAAATAATGGAAATGCTGAATTGAGCTGTATCTTACCTGCTGTTTGTTCTGATGAAACCATATCTCTTAGAAAAAAAATTGGTATTGCTTCTGAGGTATTAGGAAAATGGTTGTACTCTAAGATAGTCAGGTTTCAAGAAATGGATACCAAACTCGAAGAAAGGAGGGGACGTGCCAAAAGACTTAATAGGCAGATGGAAAATGTTTACAGCAGAAAAATTAGTAGTGGCTTATTTGCTTTCACTGAAAACTGGATTCTTGCTGTATGCCAAAATACTGAATTGATTTTTGGAAAACATGCTAATAAGTCTTTGGTCATGGTTAGTAGGATCCTGCGTTTGTTCACGTAATGATAGTTCAGTTAAATTTTCACTAGTGATAAAAAACATTTGACTGTGAAAGCAGTTCCAGTTTGTATGTACTATATGTTTCCCTTCAGCCGAAGGAATAACCAGAAATTTTAAGGAACTTGGATTTGGTTATAGTCTTGTGATATTTTTGGAATTCCTAACAAAGTAAATGTGGGAAAGGGCTGATCTGTGTTAGAAGTGCCAGTTACAGGGACAGATTTAATTAATCTTTTGACATGTTGCTTGTAGGTGAAGGAGAATCTGCTATCGTGCAAGATGCTGCTGCATTGCAAGCGGGATGAGTTACGCAAGCTGTGGATTGAAGGGATTGAGCACAAACATGTCCTGAATTTGCTGGATGAGATAGAGAACATCAAGCAAGTGCCTCAGAAGCTGGAACAGTGCATGGCCAGCAAGCACTACCTCAACGCGACAGACATGCTGGTAAGATGTGGTACCTTGTGCTGGGCCGGTATCTACCAGAAACACGCTGGTCAGCTGTCTGATCATCTGCAGACAGATCTGCCATCTGTGTTACTATTTGCTTTTTTTTTCTGCTTAGTTTCTTCTTTTGTTATTTGCTGCTTTCTTATACGGGAATTTCCATTTGGTTTTGTTTTGATCCTTCCTGACTGGACTTAGGGTCACAGTCTCCCATCCTGTTCTTGTCTTTCGCATAGCTCTTGTCTTTCAGAGTTGTCTTTACCTGTTCACTTGTCCTGATCCTGATGCTTTCTGTAACCATCTAGTTCTTTACCCATTTGATCTGCTCGTAGGATTTCCTTCTGCTTTTGCAACCTGGTGCTATATTTTAAAATTAATTTCCCAGACACCTGCTTGTATCATCTTCTTTCACTATAAAGAAATTATCAATTATTGAAATAATAAATTATTTCAAAACCATTTTTGTTATGGAAGAACTATCCTGTTTCTCTTCTATTTCATCTCCCAGAACGTACTCACAACTTTGGTCATTATTCAGACGGGAGACTGTCTTTCACCATTTAGGTGTGTTTGCCCCTCATTGTCTTCCTCCTGGTCTTTTTCCAGGACTCTTAATCCTTTCTACTTATTTCCAGCTCTTTTTTAATCTTTTCTCTCCCTCCCTTCAGGTGTTTTTCCTTTTCAGTTCCATCTCTTTTATAAGCATACCTTCCAATTCCAGTCTTGTGGTGGAGGTAGAAGTTTCCTGAACTTCTCTAATAGCAACCTTTTTTTCTTTTTCTCTTGTTTTTAAACTTAACAAGCACACTTCCTCACCAGGCTCCAGTCCTTTCTTTCCTGGAACTGTCTTCTACCAGTAATGAAAAACTTTACATGGGAAGTGATCCTTCCCCTCTACTCAGTCCTGACATATGGAGTGCTGAGTCCAGTTCTGGGCTCTCCAGTACAAGAGAGACGGAGTTACTGGATTGAGTCCAGTGAAGGATCACAAAGATGATTAAGGGACAAGAGCATCTCATGTACAAGGAGAGGCTGAGAGAGCTGAGACTGCTTCACTTAGAGAAGAGAAACCTCAGAGAGATCTTATCAGTGATTATAAATGTCTGATGGGAGGGTGCAAAGGAAACAGAGCCAGACTTTTCTCAGTGGTGCCCAGTGACAGGAGAAGAGGCAACGGACACGGATTGAAACTATGTCTGAATGTAAGAAAACACTTTTTTACTGTAAGGATGGTTGAACACTGGAACAGGTTGCCCAGGGAGGTTGTGGAGTCTCCATCCGTGGAAAATTTTCAAAACCAGACTGGACGTGGTCCTGGGCAACTGGCCCTAGGTGACCATGCTTGAGCAGGGAGGTGGATTAGGTGTTCTCTAGAGGTCCTTTCCAACCTTAAGCAGTCTGTGATTCAGAAGTGAAGACAAAAGTAGTATGTCTGCTCATATTCCTCTTTGTGTTTTGCCAGAGAATGCCTTTAAGGAAATCTTTTCATTGCCTTCCTTTGTTACTGGTTTTTTCAACTTTATTATCCTTTCTCTCTCTTAGCTATGCCTCTTCACTTCTTTTTAATAAGTCATTATTCAACAGGATAAAGAGCTGGAAGTCTTAGTGTTTCACCTCATATTCCTAGAGCCCAGACTTGAACTTTTCTTCTTGAACTAGAATTTCCTTCTTTCCATTTTATCTCATTTTACGTTAAATATGACTGTATAAAACTTATCTTGTTCCCTCTGAAACATTATCAACAGTTTGATGTTAGTCTCCTCATCCCTTCCTCTGATGGCATGTGTAACCCTCTCTGGCTTTCTGTTGTTGCTGTCACATCGTCTTGTCTGATTTCACTCTGCCGTCACCTTCCTCTTTTTTTCTGTTGTTCATGTTCTGTTTTCGTGGCACACATGGTGCAATCATCTTCCTATAATCTGGTCACAATTTTCCCTTTCTTCCCTTTTAAAACCATCTTCCAGGAACCCACTCAATCTTACTCTCTTTAGAGTCTCACTGTCTTTCTAATACGAACTATTGTCTTATATCTTTCCCACCGTATTGTAAGCTGTCTGGGATGGGTAATGTATCCATTTCTGTTGTGTAATGTAAAGTGGAATTTTTATGATACTTTATAAATTGTTATGTAAAACCTATTAGAATTCCTGAAAACAGATCAGCAGTGCAATGACTTGATGCAGCGTGTATGAGAAGAGTGCGGTCAGGTTTTGCCAAAACTTTTGTCAGGTTTCTGATGTAGGAAATTGTAGTGTGATGTTTGTCTGATATTTTCAATTATGAGAGATGAAGTAGTAGATGTAAATTAAGGGCATTCAGTGTAGGGGGAAAACCACGGTATTCAGAGTTAACATCAGTATCAATTGAAATGTTGGTGCTTTCTTTTACTGATGGACTTGCCAGTTTTCTTGGTTTGGGTTTTTTTTAGTTGTTTTGCGTTTTTTTGTTTGTTCGTTTTTTTTTAATTAAAAAAAGTTCTTTTCAGAAGGAAATTCCAGAAAAGTAATTAATTTCCTATCTGGAATATAAGATAGGAAGTGTAAGAAGAAAAATAACAATACTTAGGATTTATCATATAATATGCTTTAGAAATGGTTTGCAGTATGTGTATTTGTGATATCTTATTGGTTTGCAATATATTCATAGAATCATAGAATCATAG